TACCAATTAAATAGGAATGTGGGGGCCTCTGTGTGTCTTTGAGGAGTTTTTTAAATTTTGTTTGTTTGTTTTTTTGGGTCTTTTTGAGACAGGGTCTCACTATGCAGTTCAGGCTGGCCTTGAACTTACTTTGTAGCCTAGGCTGATCTTGAACTTGCAGATCTCCTGCCTCAGCCTCCTGAGTGCTGGGATTACAGGCGTGCGCCACCGTGCCTGGCACTTCGAGGAGTTTTAACTACAGACTGCCAGGTTTTCAGCATTGTTTCTGCCTCAGCTTTCTCGTCGCAGCTTCTAAACTCTGATGTCCTGCAGTTCTTTGTGACCCACATTGGGGGCTGTTACTGGGGCAGATAAGAGTGTGCACTCTCGGCAGTGACTGCAGCACAACGCTCGTCCCTGCTGGGGTGGTGCTTCTCGGTCCCTTGGGCTCGGCTCACGTGAAGTGTGACATGGTGCAAACGAGCCAGCACATCGAGTGGGCCACGCGTGCAGCAGGCCCTCAGCCTGAGTGCGGGGCTACGCAGCCTGCAGTCCACGAGGCTAGCAACTAAGGATGTGGCTGGGGTTTGTTGGAAGTGTGGTGCTAGGATGGGCATAAAACCCGTGACACTTGTTTCTGATGGGAAGAAAGTTACTACCTCTGAGTCTGAGCAGAGCATTCTCTGAAAGGCTCCGCTTCTCCTGTGAATGGCTAATGGGCCTGGGGCTGGGTGAGTGTTGGTTGCCCACCGTTGAGAACCCTCGAGCCAGCTCAAGCACGGAGCATGGGGTGTTTCCATCCAGCACTGAGGTTTTCCCTGATCTGGCCCGGGCCGGTCGGCAAGGAAGGGCTTGGTGTTGGGTGCTTGCTGCTCATGGTGGAAATCACGTGTCCTTGATTTTTTTGTCTTTTTGAGATAGGGTCTCACTATGCAATTCAGACTGGCCTTGAACTCACTTTGTAGCCCAGGCTGGTCTCAAACTCACAATGATCCTTCTGCCTCAGCCTCCCAAGTGCTGGGATTATAGACATGCACCACCTGGCTTGATTTCCATTCTTGGAAGAAAAAGTGATTATTTGGTGTCCTCAGATTTGGTGATGGGAGAGTGGGGGAGAGAAGGGCTCCGGCAGAGCCTGCCCACATCTGGCCTCTGTCCTAGCCTGGACTCCATGGCCGGAGGTTAGACCTGATCTTAGCCAAAAGGCCGAGAAGTGCTGGGGCTGGAAGTTAGGATGTGAGCCTCAGTCTCCTGCTGCGCGTGGGGCATCTTCTGGGGTTGGCTGCTCCAAACCCTTCCTGCCCCTACTGAAGGCATCCCTGCCCAGGCCTTGTGCTCCCTGCCTGGCATGTGTCCACCCTGGATGGCAGGGCTCTCCCTGCGTGGTGTCCCCAGTGACCCCTGCTACTACAGGCCTTGGTGCTCAGGCCCCAAGCAGATGCCTGGAGGCTGCATGGTGCTGGGACTCAGTTTCTGCTGCAGGGCCTCGGCACCCTGCACTGGCGTCCTGGGCAGCCCAGTGTGCTGTGTCCCATGCCAGGGACTCGTGCCTGGTCTCATGCCAAGCCTTGGTGTGGGCACCCTGCCCGCCAGGCTCCCTTGTGCATGGGGGTGACCTTCCCCAGGGTGCCCTCTGCTCTGTCCCTGCTGGGCATAGGTGGCCGCCCCTTGCAGAAGAGGAGGGGCTTGCACACGTTGGTCCCAGACTCATCCTTGTCTGTGAAGCAGAGGTGCCAGTTGTGGTCCTGGCGGGTCCATCAGATTCCATGAGACAGGCCCCGGGCAGCCTTGTTCCGCCTTTGATGGGCACCGACCGCTATGCCTGAGCTTCCCTCACCAGGGCCGGGGTCAAGTCCCCTCGAGGTGTCTGCTAAGTGCTGACCAGCCCTCCCAGGAGTGGCCTGTGGCCTTGTTATGCTGTGTGGTGCCTGTGGCCCTGTGGCTGAGAGCAGATGCCAGCCCGGGCCCAGTCACGCATCTGCGGGGGACCTGGCCCAGTTGCATCTGCGGGGGACCGGGCCCAGGGCTTCAGTTTGCCCCGCTCTGAGGGGTGCTGCACTGACCTCAGTCTCCGACTGTGGGAGGAGCGTCCAGGGGGATCCAGTGTGCCGTTGCCCTTCCTGCCCGGCCTGCTGTTGTCTCAGGCTCAGGAAGGGTTGTTTGGGTGAGGTCATAGCGGTGCGGCCCTGCGAGGACAGCAAGCTCAGTCCCTTCCTCAGCACCTTTGTCCCCACCAGCTCTCCAGCAGATCTTTCCCTCTGCCAGGTGGTGGCCAGGGTCAAGGCACAGCGTCCCCCACCTGCCCATGTCCCTGCCCCTTCCTGCTTGAGGTCCCAAGGATGTGCTTAGACCAGGGGCACCACCAGTCTAGGGCAGGGCTGGAGCCGGGGTCCCAGCCACACAGCCAGCCCCTCAGGCTCTGTCCCCTCATCCGAATGACACGCTCCCACACATTGGCCGCTGCCCTTACCCCATGCTGGCCTGAGGTCACCAGGCCCTGTTGCTGGCTTCCCATCCGAAGCTCTGACGGGGTCCAGGGACAGAGCGAGATCCCGCAGCCCCTGTCCTGTCACGCTGGCCGGGGCTGAGCCAGGCCTGGCTTCCCATGTGTCCCCAGGGCTGGCATCTGTGGCTGTGCCCCCCAGTGCCAGCCTCCTCGCAGGGTGGGCAGTAGGACATGGAGCTGGGGAGGCTGGCCAGGGCTGGCTTGTGCCCCGCCGCCATCCTGTGACCCGCTTGTCCCTGCCTTATGGGAGCCAGCGGGCCCCACCCTCAAGCCTCAGTGTCCTCACCGTGGGGACAGTGCATGGCCTGCGAGATACGGTGTTCCCGCCTCACTGCCTGCCGTATGGCCTGCCTGCGTGGACTGAATGAAGGGAGAAGTGAAGGGTGGAATCTCGGGGTGCTGGTGATGCCCCCAGGGCCCTGGAGCCCAGCAATGAGGCCCCCAGGGCGGGGCAGTGCCATCTCCCATCTCCCATCTCCTCCTCCTGGCAGACAGAGCTTCTGGAAGGTCCTTCTCTCCTGCTGGGCTTGGCTCGGGGGCAGGTGGGAGAGGGGCTCCCAGCTGTCCCCCAGATCTCACCCTCCTGTCATCACCCACACGCAGCTCAGATGGCCCCCAGCCCCCAGCCCCCAGCCCACAGCCCACAGATGCGAGCCGTTTCTGGAGCCTTCACAGCCCCCGGGGGGCACCCATTTATCCCTCTGCGCGACCCTCACCGCCGCTGGCTTAAGTGGTTCACACTGCTCTGCGCCACCCGCCCCGCTCCACCTCTGCTCTCTGCCTGGGGCTGGCTGGGGGATGAGCCTGTTTCTCACCTGGGAGCCCAGGGCCCTGCCGTGCTAGGCACCCAGTTGCAGGCTTTGGTCACCCTTTCTGGTGCCTGTGACCTGCTCAGTGTCACAGGCTCCCCACAGAGCACATGCGGGGACCTGCAGCATTGGTCCTTGGGAGAAAGTCACTTGGATGGGTGGACAGGTGGGCAGGTGGACAGCTAGACGGGTAGATGGATGGGTGGGCAGGCAGGCAGGTAGACGGGTGGGTGGATGGGTGTGTGGGCAGGTGGACGGGTGGGAAGGTGCAAGGATGGACGGATGGGCGTCATCTGGCTGGAGAAGCCCTCACCAGGCTAGCACGAGGGCCCGGTGCTGGGCAGTGGGGACTGGGCTGGGTTGGCCCTGGTGGCAGGCGGCAGCCAGCATCTCCTGCCTCTCGGGCTCAGCAGATTGATTTTCTGTTGTGAAGATGTGTAACTGTTAGAACCTTCCGCCGATCACTGGAGCTCATGTGGGGCTGCGGGCAGAGGGCAGGCACCGCCCAGCAGCACCCTCCGCTCCCTGGAGCAGTGAGGACGCAAGTCCTGCTCTGACCAGGGCCGCAGGAGGCCTGGGGCTGAGGCTGTCCCTGGGTTGGACGTCTGTCTGCACAGCAGCCTCTACCCCGGGCCTGTGGGTCCCTAGAGAGTGACCTGCCTCGCCTGTTCAGACTACACACCTGGCCTGTCCCCTCCCTGCAGGGCTTGTCCCAGGACCAACGCATGTTCCTGAGTCTGGCCGGCTAACGGCCATGGCAGGGCTGTGGTCCTCACACATGAGGCTCCCAGGGCAGAGAGGGATGGGAACAACCCCAAGGCGGCCACCTCCACTCCAGGGCTCTCAGTGCACAGAAGGGCAGCTCAGGGCCGCTGTCCAGGAGGGCACAGAGATCCGATGAATACAGTGCTGGCCACGCTCTGCCTCCCCCAGGCTGGGCCCTCGGGGCTCCTGAGGCGTGAAGGGCACAGAGGTGGCAGCATGTGGTCTTCCCTGCACCCTAGGAGAGCTGAGTGGGCCTCAGTTCCCCTGGCATGAACCTGGGTCCATCACCTCGCTCCTGAGAGGAAACAGGCTGACCTTGTGAGAGGTGGGCAGGGCCATGGCGCTGTGGCTCAGGGACCTGGCCACCAGGCAGGCCTCGGCTGGGCCCTCAGGTCCGAGTGGTGGGCAGCCAGGCTGCAAGCTGTGCGGTCTGGAAAGAATGGGATCCAGGTCTGGAGGACAGATGGGCAGTGCTGCGTGGCTGGTGTCTCCTCCTGCGAGAGCTCCTGGAGCCGAATGCCGAAGCAGCCAATCGGCCCTGCGCTGACAGAGAGACTGGCCAGGCGCAGCAGCACAGACCAGAAGCGCCGAGTTCAAGGCCAGTCTGGGCTACAGAGCCCAGGCTCAAGGCTGCTGTGGAGCCCAGCCAGGCCCTCTCTCAAAACAATCAAAGAGAAAATAAAAAGCAAGTTAGGAAATTCGTTCACACGCCTGGGGCCGTGGTCGGGAGCACAGTGCCTGCCCCTGCTGTGTGAGGGGTATGTGCACATGCACCTTAGCCAGGTTGTTGGGGTCACTGGGGCACAGTGGTGCCCAGCGATGGCGACGTGGGCTCCCTGTCCCTGGACCCCACACGGGTGCTCATGGCCTCACGGCCAGGAGGAGGGGGACAAGGGCTGTGCCCCACCTGGCCACAGCGCTGAGCCCCTGTCTCCCCACAGCCTCCCTGGTGCGCGTGAATGCACTCTCGCTGGTCTACCTGCTGGTGCTGCTGCTCCTGCCCTGGCTGCCCGGACCTGCATGCAGCGGCACACGAGGTAAGGGGTACGGGGTGGGGGCGGGAGGCCGGAGGGGCGTGGTTCCCAGGTGGGGCGCTGGGTACTTGGCGCAGGGGTGCAGCCACTGACAAGACTCGAGTTCCTTTCTTGCCAGAGATGCAGCTATTTCTGAATCCTTCCCACCGATCGCTTGTCCTGGGTGTGTTGAGGTGATGGGAGGGGTAGTGGGTGGGATCCCCAAACTGTCACCACCCTCCCTCAGGGAGCCACAGCGAGTGTGCAGGCCCAGGTCCCACCCCTGGCAGGGATGTGTCTTGCTCCTCTGTGTCCCAAGCCCCCGGTTGGGGGCTGAGCACGCTATGGGTTTGGGAGTAGACCGACTGGCTGCTGCCCCGCTTGGGCTTCTCCTGTGGGGTGGGCACAGGGCCGTTGGTCCCTGGCAGCAGGGACGGGACTTCTCGAGAGGATCCTGGGCTCTGGTGACCTGTGCTGTAGGTACCTAGTGTCTTTTGTGCCTTTTGGTGACTCCAAGTGCCCCACGTTCCTGGGAGGTGCTGGCTGCTGTGACCTACTCAGTTCTGGGGATCAGAACCCGAGTGGCCATCGAGTAGGCAGAGGTCCACCCTCTTGGGAGGCTCTGGGCCTGGCTTCCTTGTCTCTTCTGGCTGCTGGGGACACCCATTGTCCTTGGCTTGTGACCCTGACCTGCAGGGCCAGTGAGGGCCAGCAGGGTCCTTGCCCTGTCCCACTGCCCTGGCTCCCCCACACCACCAGTGTGTGTTCCTTCCCATTGGCTGTGATGAGCCTCAGCTTACTCGACCCTAACCCTGTCAGAGGTCCACAGGGCCCAGAGATTGGGCTGGAGACGTCTTTGGGACCCATCACTGACCATAGGAAAATGGATACTCCCTCCCTGGCCTAATACCCAAGGCTCCACCCAGCTTAGAGGGCCTTGGAACAGGCACTAGGCTCAGGGCATGGGTAGCTTTCTGGGGTTCAGAGAGCAATGAAGGCATTTTGGGGGCCCAGCTCAAGGAAGTGCTGGGAGCCCCTGGGACCCAGGAGAAGATCCCCAGGGTGTGTGGCTGGGGTGTGCAGGGCCGAAGTCTCGCTGGGCAGGAAGCCATCAGCCTGTGGATGTTGGGCCCTCAAACTCCTGGGTGCCCCCAACCTCATGTGGGGAGCGCAGCTCCCGCCGGGCAGGGGAGGGTGGCAGTGGCAGGCACCCCACCTGACCCTCCATCTGTCTGTCTGTCCTGCTCAGAGGCCCTTCAGGGACAGATGCTTCTGGTTTTTCCGGGCGGAGAGAGGAAAATATGAGGCCTGGCCACGCAGGGCGCCCGTGGGTTCCTGCCCGTGCAGCTGCTGGCCTTGGCACCACCCAGTGGAAGGTCTGATGGTACCCGGCCGGCCCCATGTAGGCGGCAGCCTGACCCCTGGCTGTGGGGCGGGGGCGCTAGCATGGGCCCCAGATGGCCACAGGCCTGTGAGGCCAGCTCCCCGCACCTGCTCGTCTTTTAGGGTAGAGGGAAGCCCCTCACACCTTTCCTGCTCCCTGGAGAGCCCCCAACCCTGTCGCCACCCCCACAGCCTGGCGGAATCCTGGGAAACCCCCAGACCTCCAGGGCCAACCAGAGCCCGTTGGTGCCTGGGCCGCCAGAGGCCAGCCTGTGTCCCCACTAGTCGGCCCTGCCTCCTTAGGCACAGAGGCCGAGGGACTCTGGGGACACCGCACTCCCTGCCTCGAGGCTGTGCGGGGCTCAGCCTGAGTGGAGCTGGGTGAGGCTCGGCAAGGGCTTTGTCTCGACCCCTCCCCAACCCCTGCCCGCTCCAGACCTTCTCCGTGGGGGGGGCTTCAGGGCTATGGACGCCCCTTCCTCTGCTGGGTGGTGGGGTCCCCTGGATGGCCACACCCACACCCAGGAGTGCCCCGCCATGATGTGTGTCCCTCGAGGGGGGCGCTGGCAGCCCCAAGGAGTCAGGAGAGCAGGGTGGGGGTGGGGAGTACAGCCAGGAGAGGGGGAGACGCCCTTGAGCCTGCGCAGGCTGAGTGGCACTTTCGGAGGGCTCAGGGACAGCTACTCCACAGGGAGCAGCGGGTCCCCACTTCAGCCCACTTCCTGTTTGCTGCAGGGGCCTGCAGGGCTGCTCCTCAGGAACCCACTCTTTTTTTCTGCTGTAGCTGGGGAGGGGTGTGCTGCCTCTGGGGTGGGACATGGACAGCCCCTCCCCTGTGAGCAGACCCTGGACAGTCCTCATCCCTGTAGACAGTCCCTCCCCCGTGGACAGACCCTCCCCCGTGGACAGACCCTCCCCTGTGGATAGTCCCCTCCCCCATGTGCAGACCCTCCCCCGTGGACAGTCCCCTCCAAAGTCTCCCCAGGTAGTGAGCCGTGAGCCAAGGCCAGGGCCCAGAGGCCAGGCACTGGCAGCTCAAAACAGCAGAGCTTGGCCAGTGCGAGGCTCCCCTGCTCCCTTCTCAGGACGTTAGGGGCTCAGTGTGGCTGGGAGGTGCCAGGCTGTGTGTACTCATCCTGCATTTCGGGGTGGCTGGAGGGTTCGAGGCCCCTGGGAGGTGGAAAGGCCGTCGCCTCCTGAGCCTCTTTCTCCTCCTCTGTGTGGGGGTGCAGCGTCCCGTGGCTCTGTGGCGAGGATCCAGATGCAGGCCTGGGAGCGGCCCCACAGCCCCGTGGGGGTCTCTCAGCCAAGGAACATGCTCTTCCCACTGTGGCCCACTCTCCCCAGGCTGGCAGCTCCGCCCCGGGCTCCCTCCCTGCCTGATGGGTCTGCTGCGCCAGGCCCTGCCATCACTCTCTCCCCGCCCTGCCCCTCCTCAATGAGTCCCACTCGAGCAGTCAGCGCCAGTCCCAGATGCCCACCCAGCCCACCAGGTCCTCCCTGTGCCGGCACGGTGAGGCCCTGCAGCGCTCAGGCAGGCAGTCCCTCGGCTGGACCAGGTCTGCTCACCACCCCGTAGGGCGCCTGCCCTGTGTGGGCTCTGTGCAGTCGGCAGTGCCAGTCAGATCCTCAGGGGAGGGGCAGGCAGCACCCACCTCTGCTAATGGCACCTCTGCCTGGCACTCGGTGACCCAAGTCCCCAGGGACCTCCTTTGCAGCTCCTTGGGCGGGCACTGGCTGTAGCCCTCAGCCTTCGGAGGTTGCCCGAGTTGCAGGCCAGCCTGGCCAGGCCCTGAAATCTCAGTGCCCTGGGTGCCAGGTCTTCTCTGAGGCCGGGCTGTCTCTGCAGAGCCTGGGGCCCAGCCCAGGGTGGGGGCAGCAACAGGGAGACCCCTGGCTGGCGGCCCTGCAGGAGAGTGCATGGTGGGTGGGACCTGCAGGGGGGCGTATCACCTACTGGGCAGCCCGGGACCCCAAGGGCAATTCTGACTGGGTTTGGCAAAGTGTGCCCCAGAAACCGCAAGTGAGGCAGCCCCTGCTGTGAGCATGCTGGGGTAGTCGTACCATCTGTCCCCAGGGTCCACGGTCCTCATCCTTGGAGTTGGACCCTGGGCTGGGGCAGCGAAGGCTGCCAGCGGGGCCGAAGTCCCCTGTGCCATCGCCCATGGGAGCAGAGGCAAGGGCAGCTCACCACAAAGGCCAGGGGTACGGCTGGCAGGGGCAACGCAAGGCCATGGCACCCGGTGGTGACCATAGATCTGGCCAGGCATGGCCATGCCCACCTGGGCTCCATGGCTCTGTGGTCAGATTCCAGCCTCCACCCCCCCAATGAAGTGATGAGGGAATCAATCTGCCAGGCTCTTGGCCACGCCAGGCACCAGCCGGGCCACAGCCTCCGCCCCTGTGCCGCCCCTATCCTGTTTCCTGGAGAGAGCCCACCTTACCACCCGGCACCCCACACAGGCCCTTGCTGCCAGCCCGCCATAGTGTTGCTTCTGGTTCCTTCTCATGGTGGCCTGGTGGGGACAAACCTCCGCTGCACAAGTGAAAAGTTGCATCTCCAAGGCCCAAGTGTTTTCCTTCCTGCACTGGCCCGACCTGGTGGGCAGGCCTTGCTGGCCCCCTGCTGTGTCTGCTGTGGCCACGTCTTCTTTGTGTCAGGCAGGTGACAGCGCCCCCAGGGCTGCAGCAGGGGTGAGGAGACAGCCCCCCCACCTGCTCCAACCCCGCATCCCCCCGGCCATGGGTCTCAGGCATAGCGGGAGGGTGCATCCTCTGGGCAGTGCCCCAGCGGGTCTGTGCTCAGCCTCACCTGCCCCCTCTGCAGCAGGGCACGCGATCCGGCTCCTGCGTGCTCTGCTGAGCCTCAGCCTGCTCTTCCTGCTGGCACACTTGGCCTTCCAGATAACCCTACACACCGTGCCCAGCCTGGATGAGCTGCTGAGTGCCAAACGTGAGTCGCAGGGGGGTGGGGAAGAGGGTGGTGCTGGGGCCCTGGCCTGGGGGCGGGGAGCATCCACAGCTGACCTGGGACCCGGTGGGCCCTGCCTGACCCAGGCACTGCCTAACAGGAGCCGTCCCCAGCCAGGATTTATGTCCAGCCCAGGTGGCACTGAGGACATCTTCCAGGAATGATTTGGCCACGGGCTGGACTGGACAGGGCCTGCTTGGGAGTGGCCAGGTCTTTTCATTATCCCCCATCTGCACCATCCTCCCTGCTGGGGCTGAGCCACACGGCTGGGTGGCTCCTGGGGCCCTGGGTGCTCCCTGGCCCCCACCCCAGCGTTCCATGCCCGTTTGCTGACAGTGCCTGTAGTTAGCACCTGTCCCCCAGCTGGGACAGGGACCTGTCCATCACCCAGGCAGGGTCACTCCGAGCCCTCATGGCCATCCTGCGATGTCTTCCTGGTGTTTTGGGACAAGGCTGGAAGAGAAGGGGGCATCGTGGCCCTGGCCAGCCATGGCTGAGACGGCGCTCCTACCTGTCCCCCTCCCCAGCAGCACTGACAGCTGCTGTCCCGAGACCCTATCTAGCTGCGTGCTGCCCCACTGGGCCAACAGGGTCAGGCCTCAGTTTCCCTGTCAGGAGAAGGGACCTTTTCAGTGCCCCTGAGGGGGTCCTGGAGTCCTGCACTCCAGGGCTGCCTGCTGTGTCGCCCTCCTGACTGGGTCCCTGCTTCTGTCTGCAGACAGCCTCTGGGAGAATGTCTCGTGCTATGTGGGAGTCACGAGGTAAGACCCAGCCTGGCTCCGTCCTCCACTGACAGCCCACACCCCATGCTGACCGTGCCTCCCTGGTCCCTTGCAGGCTGGACCTGAAGGACATCCCCAATGCCATCCGCCTGGTGGCCCCCGACCTGGGCGTCCTGGTGGTGTCATCCGTCTGCCTTGGCCTGTGTGGGCGCCGCAGGAGGAGAGAGAGGGAACACCTGGTGAGGGGCGCGCCTGCCTGGGCTGCCCAGAGCCGTTCACATCTTCCTGGTGGGTGGAGACTTCTTAGTTGATACAGAGAGGAGTCACGGAAGGAGAGAGGCCAGGTCCCCTTCCCGAGCCCACTGGCACATGGTCCTGTCCATGCGAGAATGCACCCCTCCAAGCTCTGGACCTGGGACTCTGCCTGGGGGGCTCTGAGGCCATGCAGCAGGAGGAGTGGGCGGGGGAGGGCGACAGCACTGCATGGCTGGGCCCATGGACAGCCCTGAGACACTTGTGGAACTGTGTTCTAGGAGGGCAGTGGGGCCCTGCAAGGCACCCAAGGCCCTGCACAGCCCGGGCCTTTTTCCCACCAGCTCCTGTGAGGCCCTGTGCTCCACCACCCCATGCCCAGCCTGGCCTCTGCCAAGAGCCAGGGCCCAGGGTTGGGCCAAGATTTATGGCATCCAGGTGTCCTGGCGCAAGCACTCCCTGCCTGCGGATGCTGGGCTTCAGCCCCAGTGCCCATTCATCAGCGTCTGGCACCTGCTGGGCACAGAGCCCTGGCTTCCAGAGGAGCCCAGAGAGGGAAGGGGCTTGTGTGGCCACACAGCAGGCCACGTTCCTGCGCCCACCGCTCTCCCTGGATGTGGGCTGTGGCGGTGTGCTCCGCCTGGCTGCCTGGCTCTGAAGCCCTGTGCCCGTGGCTGCAGCCCTTCAGGGTCACACTCAAGTCTGCTGGGGCCGCCCCTGGTCCCGGGGCAGCAGTGAGGCCACCTCCAGCTCTGTGTGGCCTCCGAGGGGTGGGCTTGGGCCGGCCAGCCTATTTACCTGGCCCAGCCTCTCCTCTTTCCCCTGCCTCTTGGCTCTGGTCTCAGCACCTCCTGGGGCCTCCCCGCACCCCACCCCCAAGCCTGTGAGGGTGGGGCCTGTCTGGCTCGCCTTTCCCACCCACTATCCAAGTGGGGTTGTCCCAGACATGGTATAGACTCAGAGAGGTTAAGGGACCAGCCTACGGCTGCACAGCACGAGACTGTGGGAGCTAGGTTGGGGCTAGCCCTGGCCTCAGAGCCCGTGTCCTCGCGGGTTCTCATTGCACGCCACCTCAGCTGTTTGCAAAGGCACAGCTGGGCACACAAGCTGCCAGGAGCTGACCAGAGCTGGGACCTCTGATGAGAATCTGTTCTTTGCACCATGCCCTGGCTTTCTGGGGCCTGGGAAAAGCCCCATTCCAGGAAGCAGGGACTCAGCCAAGCCTGTCCCTCTCAGGCCGGGGAGGGCGGCACCCCCAGCAGGCCAGTGCTGCAGGTATGGGGAGGGGCAGGGCCCCAGGAGACCTGTGCCGGCCGTGCGCTGGGGGCCCCTCACTCCCCAGAGACCCAAGAGGCAGGTGGCCCTTCTGCCCCCTCACTCATGACGCATCTCCTCTGGACCTGAGGACCGGGCAGGTGGTCTGAGTGCCCAGCTCAGTGTGGCCTCGTGGGGGGCACGCTGCACCCTCTGCTTCCTTCAAGTCCCCTCTCAGGAGCCAGCTCTGGGGCGGGTTCTCTGGCAGCGTCAGGCACCTGACGTCTTCCCAAGCTTGGAGCAGCAGACAAACGAGATGCCCGAGGGGTTCGGGAGGGGTCTGAGTCAGCCCGAAGGGGAGTCAGGGTCTCTGTGCCTGGCTGCGGGGCGGCAGGCTTGGGGGAGGCGGGGAGTCCCGGGGGGTGGGGCTGGGGCCTCCGTGTCACTGCCTGACCTGGATCCACCTCTGCCTCAGCATGATGGCGAGGAGAGGGACGTGGACACTGGCGTCCCAGCGGGGCTACAAGGAGTGCCCGCGCTGGCCCCCAAGCCCAGGACATGGCTGGCTTCCCGGCTCCGGGCCACAGCCCACTGGCTGCTGGTGGCGGCAGGGCGGACCCTGGCTATCATGCTGCTCGCGCTGGCAGGTACCCAGGGCGGGCAGGGACCTGGGTGCTGACCACTGTGCAGGGGGATGGGGGGAGTTCTTAGAACTCCCCAGTGACCAGGCATGACCCGGGTCCCTCTGCCCTGCAGGCATTGCCCACCCCTCGGCCCTCTCCAGTGTCTACCTGCTGGTCTTCCTGGGCATCTGCACCTGGTGGGCCTGCCACTTTCCCATCAGCCCCCTGGGCTTCAGTACCCTCTGTGTCATGGTGGGCTGCTTTGCTGCCTGCCACCTCATCTGCCTCTACTGCTACCAAACACCCTTTATCCAGGATGTGCTCCCGCCTGCCAGCATCTGGGCCAGGTGAGGGGCCTGCCTGCCTGGCCGGGGCTTGCCTCTGACCCCCGGGCAGGTAGTTAGTAACAGGCTGTCTCCTGGTAGGGTGTTTGGTCTTAAGGACTTTGTGGGCCCCACCAACTGCTCCAGCCCCCACACGTTGGTCCTCAACACCAGCCACGACTGGCCAGTGTACGTGAGCCCGGGGGTCCTACTGCTGCTCTATTACACATTCATCTCCCTCCTGAAGCTCCGGCATCGGAGGCCCGAGGGCCAGGTGAGCCCAGCATCCCCAGCTCAGCCCCAGTGCCCGACAGCTCTGTCCAGAACAGAGGGAGCCGGGCCAGGGCTGGTGTGGGGCTGAGCCTGCAGGTCTGCTGTCCACAGAGAAAGGAAGCGGCCAGGGTGGACGAGGAGCCCGAGCTGGAGTTGGACCAGCTGGAGCAGGGGCCCCGAGGCCCAGATGGGGTCTGTCAGGATGGGGAGGCCACACAGGTGAGCGGGGCCAGGCCAGGCCAGGGAGGCCGCACAGGTGCACAGGTGAGCAGGGCCTGGGCAGGCTTATAACGTGTCTTCCACAGCATATGATCCCCACATTCGTGGGGCCTGATGCCGAGGCTGAGAACTGCATTGTGCACGACCTGACCAGCCCGAGCCCTGTCCGGCAGCGTCCCGGTGAGTACCAGGTGCTGGGTTCCTAGGGCACATGTCTGCCCTCCAGGCTCCAGGATCCTGGCACAGGCCTGTGGGCAAGGCCAAGGCTGCCCCCTGGTGGCCACAAACTCCTGTGTGCAGCCTGCAGCGTCCTCACAGCGCCTCCTCTGGGCCAGTGCTGATCCGAAGACTTTTTTTTTGTCTTTTTATGGTAGGGTCTTGCTATGCAGTTTAGGCTGGCCTTGAGCTCACTTTGTAGCCCAGGCTGGTCTCTAACTCACAATGACCCTCCTGCCTCAGCCTCCCAAGTGCTGGGATTACAGGCGTGCTCCACCACACCTGGCTGATCCTAAGACTTGAGGGTGTCCAGGGCTCCTTGCCGCGGCCCATACTGGCTGGGAAGTGGCTGCAGGTGTCAGGGGTCTAGGAGGCCACTGTCCTCCTGGGAGGGTGTGCCCTGGGCTCTTCACACAGGTGGCAGCTCTGTTCTGTGCCTTCTCCACTCTGAGGCTTGGTCAGTTGTGTGCTTTCCTAGAGGCAGATAGAGTCACAGGTACCACTGGAGAAGGCCAGGGTCATGCACCCTGCCTTTAGGGGGCTTGGGAGTCAAGGCCAGGGCCACTACAGGTCAGGATGGGTCCTGCTCCCGCTCCCACCTGCTGTCTGCGCTTCAGAGTTGGTGTGGGGAGGGACTCGGGTCCCCAGGGGAGCTGACCATTGCCCTGCCCCCAGCACGTCCCAGGCTGGCGGAGCTGAAAGAGATGTCGCCATTGCATGGCCTGGGGCACCTCATCATGGACCAGAGCTACGTGTGCGCCCTCATTGCCATGATGGTGAGGTGTGGTGGTGCCGGGCCGGGTGCGGGGAGGGGAGGCCGCCTCCGTTTGCCCCATCTCAGCCGCAGGAGGCAGGCCTCAACCCCAGGACTCTGTGCACACGTGTGTGCATGCATATGCCTGGCATGTGGTGTCCCTGGCCCTGCCTCCTGGTGGCTGTGCCACCTACCTGCCCACCACCCCACGTTGCCCCTGCCCCCAGGTGTGGAGCATCACGTACCACAGCTGGCTCACCTTCGTGCTACTGCTCTGGGCCTGCCTCATCTGGACAGTGCGCAGCCGCCACCAGCTGGCCATCCTGTGCGCACCCTGCATACTGCTCTACGGGCTGGCGCTCTGCTGCCTGCGCTATGTGTGGGCCATGGACCTGCAGCCCGAGCTGCCCACCACCCTGGGCCCTGTCAGCCTGCGCCAGCTGGGGCTGGAGCACACCCGCTACCCCTGCCTGGACCTCGGCGCCATGGTGAGCCCCGTGCTGCGGGGTGGGCCTGCCTGACCACGCACAGGATGGGGGGCCCTGTCCCCCTGCCCATCAGGCAGGGCCTCCAGGAGAGGGAGCCACATCTGGTGGTCACGACAGAGCCCCTGTCGGCTCACATAGGCCGGGTCCAGAGTTGGTTGACTGAATGAGTACTGTGCCCCTGGTGCTGTGTCCAAGGGTACCTGGCCTGCCCGACCCAGCTGTCGCTCCCCATGTGGCCCCTGGGTCTCCGAGACGCGTGTGTCCCTGTGTGAGGAGTGCCAGGGTCTTCAGGGAGTGGGTTACCCTGTGTCCCTGGTGGATGAGCCTGTGTGTACACTGTGAGAGCGCAGGTGCAAACACGTGAGCCAGGTGTGAGGGACGGTGAGGGGGTGTGTGGACACGGACCCGTGCTGTGTGCGGCACATGTGTGACACACGTGGCCGGTGTGGGCTGTGTGCTGGGCCCCCTCCCGGCCCGCTGACACCTGCGCCCGCAGCTGCTCTACACCCTGACCTTCTGGCTGCTGCTGCGCCGCTTCGTGAAGGAGAAGCTGCTGAGGGAGGCCCGGGCGCCCGCGGTGCTGCTGGAGGTGGCTGTGGCGGGTGCAGGTGAGCAGTGGGCAGAGACGGGAGGCTCCGCCCCTGAGGCTTCGCCCTGCAACTGTGGGTCCCTCCTGCCAGCCACAGAGCCCACTCAGACGCAGACACTGCTCCGGAGCCTGGGCGAGCTGGTCAGCGGCATCTACGCCAAGTACTGGATCTACGTGTGCGCCGGCATGTTCATCGTGGTCAGCTTCGCCGGCCGCCTGGTGGTCTACAAGATCGTCTACATGTTCCTGTTCCTGCTCTGCCTTACTCTCTCTCAGGTGCAGGGTGGGGCGGAGCTCCGTGCCCTGGGCCCCAGGAGGGCAGGGCTTGTGTTTTGGGGGTGGGACTTGGGGCGGGGCTCGCTCATCTCGCGCGCCTGCAGGTCTATTACAGCCTGTGGCGGAAGCTGCTCAAGGTGTTCTGGTGGTTCGTGGTGGCCTACACCATGCTGGTGCTCATCGCCGTCTACACCTTCCAGTTCCAAGACTTCCCCGCCTACTGGCGCAACCTCACAGGCTTCACGGACGAGCAGTAAGTGGGCACGGCGGGCCCTGGGCTTCCCTGTGCAGCGGCCACAGGGTGCTGACGGCCTCCCGCCCACCCAGGCTGGGGGACCTGGGCCTGGAGCAGTTCAGCGTGTCGGAGCTCTTCTCCAGCATCCTCATCCCTGGCTTCTTCCTGCTCGCCTGCATCCTGCAGCTGCACTATTTCCACCGGCCCTTCATGCAGCTCACCGACCTGGAGCACGTGCCCCCGCCCGGCACCCGCCGCCCCCGCTGGGCTCGCAGGTGCAGCCTGCTTCCTGCTGGTGGATGGGGAGGACCGCACCTGGCAGGGGACTCGGCCAGGCCAAGGCCTCAGGCCTGGGATATCTTCTCACACTTGTGGGGCTGGGAGTGATGTGGGGTCAGGAGCACCTGGCCAGGGCTGCAGCAAAAACACAGTGAAGGGGACACGGGGCAGAGGTGGCATCTCCGAGTGACTTGGCTCTCCAGGCAGGACGCTGTGAGCGAGGCCCCCCTGCTGCAGCAGCAGCCCGAGGAGGAGGAGGAGGAGCCCTCCCAGGAGGAGCTCAGCACCCACGGCCCCTGGCAGGCCACACAGGTCCCTGAAGGTGAGGGATATGGTGGGGCTCCCAAGGCAGGTCAGAGGGAGGCTAGGCCCCAAGATGTTGAGACCCCTCCTCACCACACCCCACCACCACAGGTGCGGCCAGCAAGTGGGGCCTAGTGGCCGAGCGGCTGCTGGACCTGGCCGCCAGTTTCTCGGACGTCCTCACCCGCGTGCAGGTGTTTGTGCGCCGTCTGCTGGAGCTGCACATCTTCAAGCTGGTGGCTCTGTACACCGTGTGGGTGGCCCTGAAGGAGGTGAGTGGGTGGCCTGGCCACCCCAAAAGCCTCATTTGTTCCTCTGAAGCAGGCCACTCCTGCCCAGCATGGCACCGCCTCCGCCCCACCCCTGCCCACTCTGGCCCCACCCCCACTGCCTGCCCCGCCCTGCAGGTGTCGGTGATGAACCTGCTGCTAGTGGTCCTGTGGGCCTTCGCCCTGCCCTACCCACGCTTCCGGCCCATGGCCTCCTGCCTCTCCACTGTGTGGACCTGCATCATCATCGTGTGTAAGATGCTCTACCAGCTGAAGGTAGTCAACCCCCAGGACTACGCCAGCAACTGCACCGAGGTACGCGGCCCAGACCTCCCCACTCATGCTGCGGCATCCAGGGTCTGTGCCCCTCGTGGAATGTGGCCCTGGTGCGGGGCACCCAGAGGCCCATAGTGAAGGGGGAGGACAGCCCCTCTGGCAGCCCCTGCCGGAGCTTTGTTCACAGTCCCCTGCCCTGGACGTCCCTCCTGGCCCATGCAGCCCCACTTCCCAAGCACCAGGGCCTTTCCTGCAGAGACAGCACTGAGGCTCGCAGGCTCTGTGCCTGGGCTCGCAGCTCTGGGCGGGCTCAGGGCAGGGTGGGGACTCCCGGGGGCAGGCCTGGTGCTGACGCCTGGCCCCGCTCAGCCCCTCCCCAACAGCACCAACCTGCAGGCGGCAGAGATCCGCCAGTCGCTGCTATATCGTGGCCCCGTCGACCCTGCCAACTGGTTTGGGGTGCGGAAGGGCTTCCCTAACCTGGGCTACATCCAGGTGAGTGGGGGCCGGGTGGGCAGTGTGGGTGACCCCTGCTGGCTCCCTGCTGACACTGACCCTCCCCACCCAGAACCACCTGCAGATCCTGCTGCTGCTGGTGTTCGAGGCTATGGTGTACCGGCGCCAGGAGCACTACCGCCGGCAGCACCAGCGCGCCCCACTGCCTGCTCAAGCTGTGTGTGCCGATGGCACTCGCCAGCGGCTTGACCAGGACCTGCTCAGCTGCCTCAAGTACTTCATCAACTTCTTCTTCTACAAATTCGGGCTGGAGGTAAGGCAGGGCCTGAGCCGGCTCACAGCACCTGGCACGATGGCCTGTGCTCAGGCCGTGGGGCGGAGTGGGCAGGTTGAGGGCCAGCAAGGTGCGGCAAGCCCAGCCACAGTGCCCAGGCAGTGAGAAGCCAGGCTGGCCAGTGTCTGAGGTTAGGGTCTCGTTGCCATGGAGCTGTTTTGGGTGTGTGCTGAGACGTGTCTGGCCTCTGCTGGCCCCCAGTGTGCTCAGGCAGGTGCACTGAGTCCCCCACCCCTGTCATCTGCAGCCTCTGAGGCTGAGGGCCCGGGTGGGGCAGGGAGGTGCCCTTCTCCAAGCCAGTCTGTCCCCACTTCCCGCCACTTCTCCAGATCTGCTTCCTGATGGCCGTGAACGTGATTGGGCAGCGTATGAACTTCATGGTCATCCTGCATGGCTGCTGGCTGGTGGCCATCCTGACCCGCCGGCGCCGTGAGGCCATTGCCCGCCTCTGGCCCAACTACTGCCTTTTCCTCACACTCTTCCTGCTGTACCAGTACCTGCTGTGCTTGGGCATGCCCCCGGCCCTGTGTGTCGGTGAGTACTGGTGCCTGCTGTGCATGGTCTGTCCTGGCTCTGTGTGCCCTGAGTACCAGGGTCTGTGTGTGCAGTGGTGCACACTGGTCCTCGTGTACCAGTGGGTACAGGTACCCACTAGGCGTGGCATGTCCCAGCTGTGCGCTCTTGACTGGGCAGTGGCACATGGCTGCGTCTGTGCCTGCATCCGCCACCACCCACCCAGCAAGGCACCACAGCCCCCGTGGCCTGCACTGGCACAGCTATAGTGTGTCTGGGAGGTGACCACGTCTCCCAAGGCCTCCCTTCTTCTTTTCTTGTTTTGCCCAACTCTCTTCTTCTGAGATTAGCACGAAGCACGCCTGTGTGCGCTCTCTGCCAGGAACAACTAGGGCAGAACCGTCACCCTGGTGGTGCCATCCAGTGCAGTCCATGCCGGGAGTCAGGCTCACCCATCTGGCCTATGTATCAGTACTGGACTGGGGAGCCCTGGCCCTGCAGCACACGGCACAGCAATGCAGATGCTCTGGGGTTGGCCATTGCTGTGGCTCTCCCGTGGGGAGCAGGGCTTCCGTCTCTCGCTTCCTCCTTATAAAGCATGGGCTGTGCTGGAGTCTCAGCCCCTCCTCCCTCGCCCCTAGGGGTCTGAGGTTGGCCGGGGTCCTCAACGCACCCATCCTCGTCTCTGTCCATGTTCTCCGGAATCGGCCTATGGCGGGGCACACACAGACACGCTCGCCTGTTAGTGCGTCAGAGCGTGGCTGCGGCTGCGGTGCCTCCGTGTGGTCTGAACCCCCAGGGGAGGGATCTGCTGTGCTGGGCGGGAGGATCAAGGCCAGGCCGTCCAGCAGATGCAGCCGCATGCTGCTGCCTGGAGTGTCTCTGGAGCAGATGCAGTGGCACATCGTCTCCTTTTGAGATTGATCCCTTTTGACAGATCTGTAGGTCACCCCTTTGCGCCTTGTTTTTTTAACTTTCTGTGTACATGCACCAAAGAACTGCCAGCGTGGTACTGAGTTCCCCAGGACCTTGTTGCTGTTTTCCTTGGTGCCAGCCTCTTACAGACCCCAAGAACAATGCCCAGAACTGAGGAAGCACATGCTGTGATGCCACAGACCAGGGCAAGGAGCTCACTCTGGGGTCCCTAGTGTCGTTCTGTCCAGCGTGTCAGGTCCTGTGATTGAGGTGCCCGCGGATGATAAGGAAAAGAGAGACAAGAAAAACAAGAGAGGCAAACGTCTGGGATCAGGGGGCTTACAGCCTCTCAGACTGCAGCCTCGAATACCAGTTTCCGTCACTTTTTATTGAGTGAGAACTTAGGGTGTAGCTAGTACTAATGGGCAGGTACAAAACGTTTTAGCAAGGGTAATCAAAGGATTACCCTTTTCCACATGTAATCCAAGACATGCCTGTAATCCCAGCACTCAAGAGGCTGAGACAGGAGGATTGTAAACTCAAGGTTAAACAAATCATTGTGTCCTTAATGCATTCTAATCAAAGAATGTCCTTCTCCACACCCCAGGCCGTCGCGTGTCCCCGTCCATGCCGCCACGCTCTGCCTCTGTCTTCTCCGCCTCCCCCATTGGGATAGCTCCTTTGTCCTTTTCATCTTCCGCTCCTTAGGCAGAGCTGGGCCCTGTCCTCTCGAGCACCCCTCATGTGGGGTCATCTGTGTGTGTCCCGCATGCTGGGCCATGGTCGTGGCACCACTGCGAGCCTGGTGTCCTCTGTGCCATTGAGGTCAGCGTCTTTCCACAGCTGGTGTCGAACTTCCTGGCTCCATCACGGTGCTGTCCACACAGCTTCTCTGTGTGGGATGTGTCTTCCTCCCTGTGATTAGTAACTCATGACTGGGGAGGACACCTTAAGTGCATGCAGGTGTCTCACCCTCTAGTCTGAGCCTCTCCTGTCAGCAGCAGGCTTTTCCAGGCGATTCTGTTTCAGTTCATCTGTTCTCGCGGTTGGCATCCGCTAGGGCATCTGTCCTCCTTGCTGCCCGCTTCCTCAGTTGCCTCCAGCCCTGTGGACGCAGGACACTCGGCTCCTCTGTGGGATCTACTCAGTGCTTTGTCCCTCACATCTCTGGCTTCGGCCGCTGGAGCCTCTACCTCTGTGCCCTGCAGCGGCCCCCATGGAGCCCCACTCCTTCTGGGGCTCCTCTCGTTGGAGGTGGTGCGTGCATTGATCCTCCCTTCTTCCTGGTTGCCAAGGGTGGCATTCTGTGGCATGCTAGAGTTGGCCTCCACACCGCTCTCCCTGTTGGAGAACATCTGTACTATTCCCAGTCCTGGGCTTCTTTGTGTAAAGTTATCATGTCATCTCGTGGACCATGGCTCTTCCAGAATGCACCTCCTCCTACGGGAAGCCCGCCTGCCCTGCTCTGGGCATCACTGGGCTCGGCTGCTGCCCGCACCTGTGCCTGGTGCGCTTTCCCACTGCAGAATCGCGTGGGTGGGATGTGCTGCACTCTGGGCACAGAAGCCCAGGGACCCTGGTGGGAGCGGCTGTGATCTGAGGCTGTGGAGGGGAGAAAGGGAGCACGACTGCCATGGACTCAGGCTCTCAGTAGGAACCGCGGGCCTCTGGGGGTGCTGGCTGGCAGATAGGGACATCTGGGGCCTGGGCCGTGGGGCCCCTCCTGACCCAGCCCTCCCTGCAGACTACCCGTGGCGCTGGAGCCGGGCCATCCCCATGAACTCTGCCCTCATCAAGTGGCTTTACCTACCAGACTTCTTCAGGGCCCCCAACTCCACCAACCTCATCAGTGAGTGCCGCCCCGGGGACGTGCTCTGGACTCCGGCGAGCCGAGGCCGGTGGTCTGGGTCTGGCTGGCTGGGCAGGGGCCGGGGATCCTTCCATGAGTGGGCCACACAAACACATCGGATGGGGCTGAGGGGCCCAGCCAGAGGCACACAGAGTGTGTCAGAGACACACACATCTGTCACACACACCTGGACGTACGCGCCAGTGGCTCCTGGTGTGCAGTGACAGAACACACACACGTTCTGAGTCTGACGGGCTTCAGAGGCTGCACACCCACTCCATGTGGAACATAAACATCCACCCTGCCGGGGTACTCTGGGTCTGAGGCCTGTGTGTCCTGCAGGTGACTTCCTCCTGCTGCTCTGTGCCTCCCAGCAGTGGCAGGTGTTCTCGGCCGAGCATACCGAGGAGTGGCAGTGCATGGCCGGCATGAACACCGACTCCCTGGAGCCGCTGCGGGGCGAGCCCAACCCCGTGCCCAACTTCATCCACTGCAGGTAGGTCCCGCGTCTCACCACAGGGGCCTCCGCCAGGGGACCAGGCACCCCAGTGACACTCCTCCTGCCTGTCCACCACCCCACAGGTCCTACCTGGACATGCTGAAGGTGGCCGTATTCCGCTACCTGTTCTGGCTAGTGCTGGTGGTGGTGTTTGTCACTGGCGCCACCCGCATCAGCGTCTTCGGACTGGGCTACCTACTGGCTTGCTTCTACCTGCTGCTCTTCGGCACAGCGCTGCTGCAGAAGGACACACGGGCGCGCCTTGTGCTGTGGGACTGCCTCATCCTCTACAACGTCACGGTCATCATCTCCAAGAACATGCTCTCGGTGAGCCGACTTCTAGCCCACCCCGCCTGGCTCCAGCCCCACCCCCCCATCCCTCCCTGGCAGCCACCCCTGATTTTTGTCCTGCCTCCAGCTCCTGTCCTGTGTCTTCGTGGAGCAGATGCAGACCAGCTTCTGCTGGGTCATCCAGCTCTTCAGCCTCGTGTGCACGGTCAAGGGCTACTATGACCGTGAGTGGGCAAGGCTGGTGGTTGGGAGGCCCCAGGGACTGCCCTGCCCTGCCTTCTGATGGCACCGTCCCGCAGCCAAAGCAATGATGACCAAGGACCAGGACTGCCGCCTGCCCGTGGAGGAGGCCGGCATCATCTGGGACAGCGTCTGCTTCTTCTTCCTGCTGCTGCAGCGCCGCGTCTTCCTCAGCTACTACTTCCTGCACATCAGCGCCGACCTGCAGGCCACAGCCCTGCAGGCCTCCAGGTGCGCCCCTCCCAGGGCTTGGCAAAAGAGGGTGTCTGCACTGTGTCGGCACCCCGGGACAGGTGTGGGGCTTTGACCTGCCAGCCCCAGACCAGTGCTCAGGAGAGTGTTGATGCTCCTGGTGCCCGAGTAACCCTCCAGCTGAGGGTGGTGACACAGGTCTTCAGCTCCCTGGAGCTGAGCTTGGCTAAGGGCCAGCTTCACCTGCCTGCCCCCCGCCCAGACCCAAGGGCCAAGGAGCAGGCCTAACTCTTCCCCGCATGCCCTATGGGACTGAAGGCTGCAGGAGGGTCGCTTCTCTCACTGCACACAGCATGGACGCCTGGGTGGCAGATGCCAAGAGGTCGTCCCCATGAGCAGGGAGGATCAGGGTCAGCGAGCCTGGGGATGGGGCGCATCCCGTGCAGCTGAGCTAAACCCTGGTCCACCGTTCCCCCAGGGGCTTCGCCCTCTACAATGCGGCCAGTCTCAAGAGAATCGAAGCCCACCGCAAGGCGGAGGAGAAGTCCCTGGCGCAACTGAAAAGACAGTAGGTGCCCCCTGGGCAGGGCGCTAGCTCCTCCGTTGGCCCGTGCTCAGAGTCCCCTCCCACCGCCTGCAGGATGAGGCGCATCCGTGCCAAGCAGGAGAAGCACAGGCAGAGTCGTGCCGGGCGAGGCCGCCCCCAGGTCCTGGATCCTGAGGACCCCAGCCAGGAGCCAGGTCAGTGTGGACAGAGCCTTGCATCCAGGCACTTGTGCCAGGTGACCTCCCCAGGGCCACTGCCCTCTGTCCTCTGCCATGTGATACAGTCCCCTCAGGCCGAGCCGGCTGTGCGGGCATCGTGATGTCCGTCTGCACACGTGGGCACTCGTCCTGTCCCTCGTGGGCTGAGCCCTGTGGCACCACACAGCACTGTCACCACAAGGCTCTGTGTCTGTTTCCGTCTGCCTCTGTTGTGTGGCCCTTGTCCCCTGCACCCTCCCCAGGCTACTCACGGCTGCCTCACGCGCCTGCCCCTCCACAGGGCCCAGCAGCCCCGGGGGCTCCTCCCTGCCACAAAGACAGTGGTGGCGGCCCTGGCTGGACCATGCCACAGGTACCCTGCCTGAGCGCCCTTCACGCCCTGCACCCCACCCCACTGCTCGCTGCCTCCTCGTCCAGTCTGGTCTTGTCCTGCTCTGGCCTGTGTCCTGTGCATGTGCCACTGCCCCCAGCCTGCCAAGCCCTACATGCGTGGCCAGTGGGAAAGGAAGGCCTGGCCGCAGGGGTGGCGGGAGGCTGAGGGGAGACCCCGAGGGTGTGAGGGGTACACTGGGGGCGGCCAGCTCACCCCACCCTGTCTGCAGTCATCCACTCTGGGGACTACTTCCTGTTTGAGTCTGACAGCGAGGAGGAAGAAGAAGCCGTGCCGGAGGAGTCCAGACAGTCGGCACAGAGCGCCTTCCAGGTAAGGTCTGCACAGCTCTGGGCCCTGGCTCAGGGTCCAGGGTCCGGCTCTGAACACCCACCCAGCCGGCTGTGGACATCAGGGGCCTGTGGGGCCACCTGTCCCTCTGCTGCTACCTCCCAAGGCCCTGGCTCAGACCGGCCCAGGCTCCATGTTTTAGCTGGACACGTCTGTGTCCTGGGGCCAGGTGGGCCTGCTCCATCCTGGAGGCCTTGTCCATCTTCAGTGTGCTGAGTGACAAGGACACACAGGTGGTATGTATGCACCATGTCCTGCCACAGCCCCTGGGGCACACTCCAGAGGCGGCAGAGTCCCCAGCGGGTCACAAACAGCCGGGTCTGGCGTCAAGACTGGCCAAGCCCAGCTTCCTCCTCTTTTCTGGGAGGGCACCTGGTGGCCCAGGGCTCATGTGGATCCCCCGGCACGAGGCCGGTCCTAAACCCAATGCTTGGCCGGCAGATGGCTTACCAGGCGTGGGTGACCAACGCCCAGATGGTGCTGAGACAGCGGCGGGAGCAGGAGCAGCTGCGGGTACAGCAGGAGGGGGCAGTACAGCTTCCCACGGGTGAGTTGTGCTCCAGGAGGCTGGGAGGCTGCGGGGCCACAGGCCGAGACTCTGACCAAGTCCCCTGTGCCCAGGAGGTGGCCTGGGTCAGGAAGTGGAGCCAGGGGAAGCTATGGAGACTGAGGACGAGATGGCAGGTGCGTGGGCTGGGGCCAGGGAACCGTGGTGAGGGGCTATCCTGGGGCCGCCCCTCCAGACCCTCCATCCCGCAGGCCATAGCCACGTGATGCAGCGTGTGCTGAGCACCATGCAGTTCCTCTGGGTGCTGGGCCAGGCCTCGGTGGACGGTCTGACGAGCTGGCTGCGGGCCTTCACGCGGCACCACCGCAACATGAGTGACGTGCTGCGCGCCGAGCGCTACCTGCTCACACAGGAGCTCCTGCGGGTGAGCCGCCCGACCCGAGCCACCTCTGGCCCCAGAACACGAGCAGTGCTCCTCATGGAGCTGCCCCCACCCCGCGGTCCTGAGACCCTGCCGTGTCCCGCAGGGCGGGGAGGTGCACCGCAGTGTACTGGGCCAGCTGTACGACGACGATGACGAAGCCACACTGCCCAGCACCCTGGAGGCCCGCGATGGGCCCAGCACTGCATCCAGGTAGGTGCAGGCCCCACCCTGCCTGTTCTCAGTCCCAAAGCTGACCCGCGAGTTCCTGGTGGGGACACTGTCCAGTACAGCACCATCTGGCCATTCCACCCCTCGCTGTCCCTCTGGGGGACACCTCTGTCCTCCTCTGTTCCTCCACGGAGGCCAGGGCTGGCTATCTCTGACCCGCTTCCCTCCCGCAGTGGGCTGGGAGCCGAGGAACCCCTGAGCAGCATGACAGATGACACCAGCAGCCCCCTGAGCACGGGCTACAACACCCGCAGTGGCAGTGAGGAGGTGATGGCAGAGTCCAGGGACCTCGAGGCCAAGGCTTTGCTGCACGGCTCGCAGGAGTTCGCAGCTCGCTCGAGGACGCGCACGGCCAGTGAGCTGCTGAGCCGCAGGTGCGACACAGGCCGGGCGGGTGCTGGGGTGGAGCCTGCCCATTACCATGGTGGCAGGCGGGCTGCACATCCCACAGTGGTCACCCCACAGGTGCCTGCACATCCAGGAGCTGGAGGACGCGGAGAAGTTCATGGCACAGCAGGGCCGAACGCTGCGGCTGCTGTGGGCCCTGTATCAGTGCGTGGCGGCACACTCGGAGCTGCTCTGCTACTTCATCATCATCCTCAACCACATGGTCACGGCCTCGGCCGCCTCGCTGGTGCTGCCGGTGCTCATCTTCCTGTGGGCCATGCTGTCCATCCCCAGGCCCAGCAAGCGCTTCTGGATGACGGCGATCGTCTTCACAGAGGTGGGTGAGGGCGGCCGGGTGGGCTGGGGCCTGGCCCAGACTGAGGGCCTTCCTGCAGGCCTCCGTGGTCACCAGCCTCCCCTGCAGGTCACCGTGGTCACGAAGTACCTGTTCCAGTTTGGCTTCTTCCCCTGGAACAGCCACACGGTGCTGCGGCGCTATGAGAACAAGCCCTACTTCCCGCCGCGCATCCTGGGGCTGGAGAAGACCGATGGCTACATCAAGTACGACCTGGTGCAGCTCATGGCGCTCTTCTTCCACCGCTCCCAGCTCCTGGTGAGCACCGCGCTGCGTGGCACCCGGAGACTGGGCCCTGGCGCTGGGTGGATATGGTCACCTCACTGCCCCTGCCCTCCTGCAGTGCTATGGCCTCTGGGACCACGAGGATCAGACCAAGGCAGACACAGGGCTGCAGGAGGAGCCACGCGTGGCCGGTGCCACCACCCAGGACCCTGTCCAGGTGGACGAGAGGGTCGGGTCCGGGGATGGGGCCCCAGAACCCCATGTGGACCTCAAACCCCAGGACACAAGGCGCATCAGCCTACGTTTCAGGAAGAAGGAGAGCCCAGGACCCAAGGGCACAGTAGCCCTCGGTAAAGACTCTCATCCACAACCCGGCCCCCAGGCCCCTGGTACAGCCCCCAGCCATGTTTCTGGGAGGCGAAGGGCGGGGGCACCAGGCCCAGCTGGGGATTTCCTGAAGCCCAGGTAGCACATAGCTGTGGGCTCCTGGCTCCTGGGAGAAGGGAGGAGCCTGTCACTGGATTATCCTGGCTGCAGGACCTGCCTCTCTTCTGTCTAGGACAGAAGGGAGAGACCTGTGAGGGTCTCTGTGCCGGCCCCCAAGTTGGTGAGCAGCCAGACCCAGGTGGGCTCAGTCGGCAGTTTCTCCCACACAGGAGCTGGGGATGGGGAGGAGAGAGAGGCAGCTGGGAGGAAGAGGACGAGTCGTTGCCAAGAACGGATGAAGGCAGCAGGGCGCCAGCTGCAGGCCTTCTGCCTGTCACTGTAAGACAGGGCCTGGGGGTGGCCGTGGCTGAGGGTAGGGAGGGAGGCCCAAGGCCAGACACCCACTGACTCTGCCCGCCTGCCTGTCCGCAGGGCCCAGAGCATTTACCAGCCCCTGAGGTGCTTCTTCCATGATATCCTACACACCAAGTACCGTGCAGCCACCGACGTCTACGCGCTCATGTTCCTGGCTGACGTGGTCGACTTCATCATCATCATCTTTGGCTTCTGGGCCTTTGGGGTGAGCCGAGTTGGGGTCATAGTGTGTATAGCTCAGTGGCCACTGGGCCCGGCCCCGTCCCCCTGACCTGTGCTCTCCGGCTATAGAAGCACTCGGCAGCCACGGACATCACATCCTCCCTGTCAGACGACCAGGTTCCGGAGGCCTTCCTGGTCATGCTGCTGATCCAGTTCAGCACCATGGTGGTTGACCGTGCCCTCTACCTGCGCAAGACAGTGCTGGGCAAGCTGGTCTTCCAGGTGGTGCTGGTGGTGGCCATCCACCTCTGGATGTTCTTCATTTTGCCAGCTGTCACCGAAAGGTGGGCACTGTAGCCTCAGGGGCTTGGTCTCCACCATGCACACCAGCCCTTGTGTGTGTGGCAGATCCGGGATGTGGGCTAGGACTGTTATTTACCATTGCATCCTGGCCCAGGATGTTCAGCCAGAATGCGGTGGCCCAGCTGTGGTACTTCGTGAAGTGCATCTACTTCGGCCTGTCCGCCTACCAGATCCGCTGCGGCTACCCAACACGCATCCTTGGCAACTTCCTCACCAAGAAGTACAACCACCTGAACCTCTTCCTGTTCCAGGGGTGAGCATGGTCTGCCCAAGGTCTGTCTAGTCCGTTGCAGTGGAGTCAGAGCCCCTGACAATCCTGGCTTTGCAGGTTCCGGCTGGTGCCCTTCCTGGTGGAGCTGCGGGCCGTCATGGACTGGGTGTGGACAGACACCACCCTGTCCCTGTCCAGCTGGATGTGTGTGGAGGACATCTACGCCAACATCTTCATCATCAAGTGCAGCCGTGAGACCGAGAAGGTGCCTGGCGGGGGTGGGGGCTGGTGGGTGTGTGTGTGTATGTGTGTACACGTGCGCGCGCGTTCCACCTCTGGACAGGCCACAGAAGGGGACGTGGACATGGCCCTCTGGGGAGCAGGAGGAGCCAGTAGAGACCGGATGCTGTCAGCTGTTTTTCTTTAATGTGACTCACTCATACAAGTGCACACTTCAGCGGCTTTTAGTGATTACAGTCAGTCTGGAGACATTTCCCTCTGCCCTCCCCAGCCTGTGGCCATCTCTGGTCTCTGGTTTGCCTGTCACAGATGTGCCATGAGACAGCAGAGTTGCACGCTGCTTGTGTTTGTGTGGCCAGCTGCTCCCATGCTGCAGCTCTAGGTGTCACTCCTGTCTGGCTGAATGCCACCCGCTGTGCGGAAGCTCCTCTCCCGTTGGGCTGCTTCTGTGTTCTGCTGGCCACAGCAGCCCCGAGATGTCTGGATGCATCTTCCCTTGCAAGGGTGTCCCCGGGAGGTGAACAGCTGCTGAGGCTCCGAGGACCTGCCTGTTGCCTGGCAGGCACTCCACTGTATCTGCTGGCTGTACTGACCCGAACCCAGGGAACTCAGCTACATCCCCAGCCCCACTCCTGAGGCAGGGTCTTGCTATACGACCGAGGCTGGCCTTGCCCTTGTCATCCTCCTTGTCATCCTCGTCATAGCTGAGCACACATAGCTCTACCCTCATAAATCTTACCAGTGGCTCTGCCTGCCAGGGTTGGGCGCACCTTGCACAGCTGGGGGATTTGCCCTGGTGGCTGCCGCTGTAGTAAGCATCTTCGCCGACACAGCGCACGGCTCCTGGAGAATTGTTCGCTTGGACCCTTGGCACTCTGCTGCAGGCCAAGTCCTCTGAGTGTCCTGATTCCTGCAGTCTCTGCATGCCACGGCTGCCTCTTTCTCGGCGTCTTCTCATGCAGAAGTTATTCCTGCAAATATGCAGCTCATGCTTTTCTTCTGACTGTTGTACTTCGGGCCTGCAGCCCAGTTCTCTTGTGTGTGCACACAGCCTAGCACCAGCTGCTGACGGCTGTTCCACTGGCTACCAGCGTCCTGTCGAGAGCCAGCTGGCCCTAAATGAGAGGGGTCATCTCTTGGGTTCACCGACCTGCGTTTGTCCTGCCACCAGCAGTGTGAGGAGGCGGCCACTGCACAGCTGTGAGCTGGCATCAGGTCACGGTGCAGAGGTAGTGCCTCTGAGGCCTGGGATGGTGACCTGGGTCTTCTCCCCCAGAAATACCCACAGCCCAAGGGGCAGAAGAAGAAGAAGATTGTCAAGTACGGCATGGGCGGCCTCATCATTCTCTTCCTCATCGCCATCATCTGGTTCCCACTGCTCTTCATGTCCCTGGTCCGCTCCGTGGTTGGTGTTGTCAACCAGCCCATTGATGTCACTGTCACTCTCAAGCTGGGTGGCTATGAGGTGAGTGGCCCTGCCCATCGTTCCCAGCGGGGAAACGGGTGGCGGGGTGTGGGGTGTGGGACATAGGTGGAGCCTGGGCTCCCGGCGCCCACTCACGGCGTCCCGGCCCCAGCCCCTGTTCACCATGAGCGCCCAGCAGCCATCCATTGTGCCCTTCACGCCCGAGGCCTACGAGGCGCTGTCCCAGCAGTTCGACCCCTATCCGGTGAGTGGACCCTGCCAGCCCCTGGTAGGGGGTAGGGGACGGCCGGGACGGGTGGCCAGCTCCCCGCTGAGGCACCCCTGCCCTGCCACAGCTGGCCATGCAGTTCATCAGCCAGTACAGTCCAGAGGACATTGTCACAGCGCAGATCGAGGGCAGCTCTGGGGCGCTGTGGCGCATCAGCCCCCCGAGCCGAGCGCAGATGAAGCGGGAACTATACAATGGCACAGCAGACATCACCTTGCGCTTCACCTGGAACTTCCAGAGGTGGGTCCTGTGCGCAGGGGCCCAGGGCACAGCTCCCACAGTGGGTCACATTCTACCTACCTGCCCACCTGCAGGGACCTGGCCAAGGGCAGCACCGTGGAGTACACCAATGAGAAACACACACTGGAGCTGGCCCCCAACAGCACAGAGCGGCGGCAGCTGGCCCACCTGCTGGAGGGCACCTCGGACCAGTCTGTGTGAGTAGGGGAGGGCGGGGGGTAGGGAGGCATCAACCGGACCTGACCTGCCTACCCTCCCCTCCGCACAGCATTATCCCCCACCTCTTCCCCAAGTACATCCGCGCCCCCAACGGGCCTGAGGCCAGCCCCGTGAAGCAGCTGCAGCCCAGTGAGTGTGGGGGCTGGAGGCAGGGACACAGCTCGGGGAGGGGTAGTGGTCTGGGGCTGACTCCGCTGCTCCATCCCAGATGAGGAGGCTGACTACCTTGGTGTGCGCATCCAGCTTCGGAGGGAGCAGGTAGGCTCGGGGGCTGCTGGCTTCCTGGAGTGGTGGGTCATTGAGCTGCAGGACTGCCAGGCCAGCTGCAACCTGCTGCCCATGGTCATCTTCAGCGACAAGGTCAGCCCGCCCAGCCTGGGCTTCCTGGCTGGCTACGGGTGAGTGGTAGGGCCAGGGGACACCCTGAGGTCCAGGCGGGCCCCAGCCACACCAGCCTCACTGCCCATCGCTTCACAGCATCATGGGGCTGTACGTGTCCATCGTTTTGGTCATCGGCAAGTTCGTGCGTGGCTTCTTCAGTGAGATCTCACACTCCATCATGTTTGAGGAGCTGCCCTGTGTGGACCGTATCCTCAAGCTGTGCCAGGACATCTTCCTGGTGCGGGAGACGCGGGAGCTAGAGCTGGAGGAGGAGCTGTACGCCAAGCTCATCTTCTTGTACCGCTCCCCGGAGACCATGATCAAGTGGACACGTGAGAAGGAATAGGAGCCTGGCTCCTCGGCCCCGGGAATGAAGGAGCTGCCTATGGGCAGCATGGCCACCAGTGTAGGTGGCACTCCTCGGGCCAGGGCTGCAGCTGCCACGTGTCCTCCCTGGCTCACCTGAAACCTGATGCTGCTGTCAGAAGGACACTGTGCTCCCCGTGGCCCTCACACACCCAGTACAGCCATACTGGGCCTGGAGCCCTGGCCCACCCACCCTTCCTCCACGTACTGTAGAATTTTCTAATTAAAACCTTTTTATTTATACAAATGGACAAGCCCGAGCCAGCCCCACAGCCTTGCCTTCCGCCCCGAGTGGAGAGCTGCCCATGCCGGCCACAAGTGTGTCGGGGCTCAGCTCTGAGTGGTCTCTGCCTCGTCGCCACTGTCCTCGATCAGATACTCCTGGATTTCCTGCATGACCCAAGCCCTGTGGGGAGCATGTGTGGGAACCAGCCCTGGGGATTCCCAACTGGGGACCCCATCGAACAGGCCTGGTACCTCTGGCTGCGGAGCTGGGCCTCGGCCAGGATGTAGGGGGGTAAAGGGTCCATGGAGGGCTGCAACAGAAGCCAGTGTAAGGGGGGCGCAAGCATAGCACACCACTGTGGCCAGGAGGGGAGGGGCAGCCACCCACTCACCAGGTCCTTCATGTTCGCCCGGCAGCTGTAGCACAGCTGCTGGATGACCTGGGTCTGCCTGTCGTCCTCCCTGGGGAAAAACAGCTAGACTTGTGTGCCTGGCCTGTGGGGCTCTGCCCAAGTTGGTCCTATCCTCAGCAGGAACTCACCTCCCACAGGCCTTCCAGCAGCAGCCCGGGCCTACAGTGTGGCAGGGGGCGGCAGGCATCCCAGACTCAGCCTGTAGGGCGGACGGCGGCATCTGGGAGAAAGTCGAGGTCTGAGCCCCAAAAGCTGTGGCACTGTCTGCAAGCAGAGAGGGACTGAGGGGGGACTGTGGGGGACTGTAGGACTGCTGAACCCCAACACCCACCCCAGCACCCTGAGGAGGTCCAGTGCGAACCAGCAGTGTCGATGTCCAGGGTGCACAGGCAGAGGAGGCAGCGGGGGCCCTCGGGCCCACCTGCACAGCCCTCCCTGGGCGCTTTGACCAGCTTCTCGCTTGTCCTGGGGGCAGGAGGCACAGATCGTGGGCTACCCCCAGCCGGGCTCTGCTCCTTCCCAGTCCCCATGCGCACAAAGCCCGCACACACCTGTACACAGTGCTGACTGTGGAGGGAAACTGCACCTGCAGCCTGAGGACGAAGGCCTCCATCAGCCGGTGGATGCTGGCTTTCTCAGGGGCCTGGAGACCAGGGCAGAGGGTCAGCCCTAGAGTGGGCACCTGGCTTCCCATAGTAGCCAGTGTATCAGCAGGGGCCAGCCTGGCCCTTCAAGGCACAGGGTACCCTCAGAGGACCCAATGGGACCCTGCTGCTAGCACCAAAGGCAAAGCAGGAGGTGCTGGGACATCAGGTCAGCTTGGAGAAGGGCCACCATGCGTGCCTGGCTGATGTGGACAGCTTTGTCCCACTGTGCTGGGACCTCTGGCTCATGCAGAAGGGAGATCACCCACTTCGCCCATGCAGCTCACCCCAAGGACCTACCTTAGTGTCCACAGCCGGTGTGAAGACTGAGGGGACAGCGAACAGGCGGTTGTAGAAGGCCACTTCCTTCAGTGTGTGGTCCCTCATGGGCCGCACCACCACCACATCCCCGTGCCGCTCGTCTGAGAAGCCCTGGGAGATGGGGCTGTTGGCCAAGGTCCTGGCTGCACCACCCGCCAAGCTGGGGTTAGTCCCAGGGCCTCTCCGCGTGGGAGACCCACAGCTACTGCCTCCAGGCAAAGCAGACAGGTGGGGAGGAGCCCTGTGTACCGTGTCCCAGGCAAGGAAGGCCCCTCGGCCTAGGGCCAGGTTGGTCATGAGCTTGATGGCCAGGCGAGTGCAACTGTCCCCAGTCATCACCTTGGAGTAGCCGTGGGCTCGGGCCACGTGCAGGATCAGGTGGCTCCTGGGGTGCAGAGGCCACATTGCAGAAGCCCCATGGGCCGGGAGGGGCCAGGAGGGGCCAGATACGGGGCTGGGCTCACCGCAGCGTCTGCAGGAGCTCCTCCTTGGCCGTCAGCGTCCGTACGGACTCGAACAGTCTGCACAGGGCCTCGGTCTGGGCAGCAGGGGGGAACCCAGCTGGACTCAGGGGCTCATGAGGGTCCTGGCTCTGAGGCCAGCACTGCTCCTCCTGCCCCCAAGCTGGGCCACAGCTGTCCTCGGCACCCTGGGTCTCCAGCGCATGCTGCTGCTGGAGGAAGTTGTCCACGGCCGCCTTGTAGGTGCCCTCGGTCCCGGCTGGCTCCCGGGGACAGTACCGCAGGACCGACGGCGGCAGGCCGAGCACCTTTGGGGACGCAGGTAGTGAGGCCAAGCAGACCTGGGTCCCCACACTGCCCGCCAGGCCTTTCACCAGGGGCCCAGGCCAGACCTGGGTCCCCACACTGCCCGCCAGGCCCTTTGCCAGGGGCCCAGGCCAGACCCCGGGTCCCCACACCGCCCAACAGGGGCACGCCACCCACCTCTTCCAGGGACACCACATGCCACGGGAAGCCGACAGTGTGCAGAACCTGCTTCACCTCAGCCAGGGTTTTTGCTCTGTCTTCTAGGCTCTGGCCACAGGCTGCACCCTCTGCAAAGCCAGGCAGGAAGGAGGGTCAGGGCTCAGTCTCAGTGTGGTGGCTGAGGGGCTCTGCAGGGCATGGTTACCGGAGGATGAGAGCTTGGCAAGGTGGTGCACATCTATAACCCCAGCACTCCAGGAGGCTGAGGCAGGAGGACCACAAGTTCCAGCCTAGCCCAGACAACTTAGCAACTGAGTGAGGCCCTGCCTCAAAATGAAAAAAAAAGGGGCAGGGATGTAGCTCAGTAAAAGGTCCTGGGTTCAATCCCCAGTACTACAAAATGCACAAAAGGCCAATGCAGACAATTGGGTGCTGTTTTGATTTAGGCAACAGGCTCCCCCTCATGCAATGATGGCAAACCTTTTAGAGACTGAGTACCCAACTGCAACCCAAAACCCACTTACTTATCATCAATGCCAACACTGCAATTAAACCTAAATACTGAGGTTCTAGTTTAGAAAGAACAACTGTTATCCAATGCTCAGCTGCTGGGGTGACTTGGCTCGTGCCGATAGGGCTGTGTGCATCCGCTGCTCCACACATGCCATAGGTAGCTGCCCTAGTGGCTACAAATATCCCAGCCGCAGTCACTAGCCCTCCTCAGGCCCTGGACCTCATGGTGGGGCCAGGTAGGACAGATATTCCCAGCCCCTGCAGTCATCTAAAGCTGGAACTTGCACCAGCTCCCTCGGAAACACCACCACCAGGGACTCAGCATGAGGACCACACCAGTCCTGGACCCACCTTTACCCAGGAGGCGCAATGGGCCCACCCCAAGTGGGCCTGGAAAAAGGGCAGCCACACATACCGTCCACATAGACGACCCCTGGCACAAAGCGCAGCCTCTTAGCAGAGTGTTGACTCAGGCCCTGGAGGGGGACACGTAGAGGACTTGGAGCCTGGCTGTAAGCCACAGGGTGCCTTTCAGCAGACCATGTCTCTGGACCTCAGTCCCTGGAAGGAGGGAGTCGCTCTCCCCTTAAAGCAGACTCGGGCCAGGCAGCTCTGTGGGGAGGCCAGGCAGCCCCACCTGCTGAAGGGTAGTTGTCGGTCTCCTCTCCTGCCATGAAAGCAGCCCCCTGCTCCCTCTAGCCCCTCTGCAGAACCTCAAAACCTGCCCTTGAGTGGGTCCCTGACACCTCAGCAACCTGGGACAGGCAGAGGGGCCACAGTGCCACCTGCTGGGCACTACTCAGAAGCACACTCAGAAGAGCAGAGCTGGGCTGGGCTGGGCTGAGGAGCTGATACGACCTGAGGTGGGCCTGGTCTTGGTCCCACATGGGCAGGTTTAGGGCACCACCGGTTGGGAGAAAAACCAGCCAGGGACACAACTCTCCGCTTAGGTGGACAAAGCCATTCATACTCAGGCCAGGCAGACCTCATGTGGAAGGCTGGCACAGAAGGAGGATGCTTCACCTGCAATGTGCCAGCCCTAGGTCAGCCCCACCCCTTGCCCAGGTTGACCCTGAGCCACTGACACTCAAAATGGCCACAGCCCACTCCGCCCCCAGCCTGCACCTCAAAGCTTCACACTAAGTGTGCAGGGAGATCCCCCTCCAAAACCCATGCTGAAACCCCTGGAGCTTCCCAGTTCCCACCGGGAAACACCACATGTCCCAGCACCTCCTGGGTTTGCAGCGTGAGCACCTGCCTCAACTCCCCCCCCATCCCCCGTGAATGAGCTACCCTCCCTGTCTGCCCCCACAAGTCACACCGAGCCATGAGACCGAGCCATGAGGCTGATCCCTGCAGGGTGGGCAAGCGGACAAAATTAACGTGGGCACAGCTGGCACCCAGATGAGGCTGCTGGCTTGGAGACCTGTGTACACACTGAGAGCCCTCTAGGTGTCCCAGTTGGGGTGCATGGGAAGGGAGGCCCCACCCCAGCTTTGCCCAGCAGCCTGGGTGGCGGGGAGAGGGAAAGGTGTGTGTGGACGCACCTCAACGACCTGCCAGACCATGGAGCTGGATGAGGGCCCACCAGACCATGCCAAGAGCACCTGGGGGAGAAGAAACACCAGAATGTATCACTCACCTTCGATGCAAGCATGCTCCTCCCACGACATGGACAGCCCACCAGCAGAGTATGCACAGGGGTGGCAGGGCTGTGTGAAGGGCAGAAGGGAAAGCCGGGCCTCCCAAACACACATACAGCTACCTTCTCTCCAGGAAAGATAAGACGGTTCTTCCCCAGCATGGCTCTGAACTTGTGGATGTAGAAGGCCTTGAAACAGTCCCTGCAACACAAGCGCCAGGCAGGGCTGTCTTCACAGGGGTTCTGCCAAACTGGTGGAGCAGGCTCCCCAAGAGCCTCATAGCTCACAGGGCCCCAAGCCCTACCAGCTCTGAGCACACAGGGTACAGGAGCTGCATCCCACATCCCACAGGTGCTAGGAGGAAGACAAGGCTCACACTAGTGCAGACTGAGGCTGCCTCGGTTCCCATTAAGAAAGGTGCTAGCTGCTTGCATGCCCTCCCTGCCCCACGCCAGGCAGCAGCACCACCCTTGGGTGAAGGAGGAAATGCGGAGCAGGCTGCAGAACTGAGCCTCCAGGCCTGCCAACCAGAGAATAGTGTGCCAGCCACCTGGGCAGAGATAGCCAGGAAGCTCAAGCAAACAGAGGCCTGGGGTCCTGAAAGCACAGATTCAGAACTTGCAGCTAGACAACAGTCTGTTTCCCAGCATCTTTTTTTTTTTTTAGAGAATGTTTTAGAAACCAGAACACAAAACTCCTGGGACCAACCTTAAAATGTGAGACTAACACCCCTTTAGCAAACACATACTACATAAAGTAGCACATGGGGCCACTGGGAACTAGAGGATTAGAACAGGAACTCCCTCAGGGAGCTATAAATCTAGTGAAAAAGGCCAAAGATTAAACTGGTCATAATACAACTGGATGTGGTGCTGTACGCCTGTAATCCCAGCTACTAAGGAAGCTAAGACAAAAGGACAGGCAACAGTTTAACAACTGAAACCCTGCCTCAAAATTTTAAAAAATTATGGGGTGGGGATAAGGCTCAGTTTGAAGGTTTGAGATTCAATCCCCAGTACCAGACACACACAAATGTTATTATACCAAAAAAAAAGGGGTTGGGGATTTAGCTCAGCGGCAAAGCGCCTGCCTGACAAGCGCAAGGTCATGAGTTTGACTCCCAGTACAGGAAGAAAAACAAGAAACAAAAAAAACAACCAAAAAAAGATGACAAGGGCCCAGAGAGATAGCTCAGTGGTACAAGTGCCTGCCTGGCAAGTGCAAGGTCCTAAGTTCGATTCCCGGTACCAAAAAAAAAAAAA